TGGCTGAGCTCAGGGCACAGTCGGGATCACAGCAGCAGCTTGAGAGGCATCAGAACCAGGAGAAGCCCCAAGTCCCTAAGACTCACAGCCCCCCCTTTCACCAGGCTCCTGGTTCTCCCTCCGCCTCACCTTCCCTCCTCCCTTCCCTCCTCCCCTCCATCACTCTCTCCTGTGCTCAGCATGGACTGGGAGGCATCTGGGAAGGGAAAGGACAGGCTTTGGGGGAAGGCTGCTCCCTGCCTCGGCCAGCCTGACTGCTCGCCAGCTGTGTAATACTGGACTCGGGCTTCTCTGCATGTCAGTTTCCCCATCTGTCAAGCGAAAGTGGGTATGAGCATTGGTAATGATTGTAAAACATTAGAATCTGGTAGGTGCCCTGTTAAGAGTTCCTCCTCTGAGCTGCCCTGTTCAGGAAGCTGGGACACGGGCCAAAAAGAGGGAGATGTGCCTGCTCTTCTTACAGATCTCACAGCCCTGGGTGGTGGGGGAGACAAGCCATTGCAGACGGGCAGTTACAGTGCTTCATGATGTGGGATGTGATAGACAAGTGCTCAGAGGCTGTGGAAGCCCGAGGAGGCCACATCTGATGGACTGGGGTATCAGGGGAGGCTTCATGGAGGAGGTGACAGTGGAACTGAGCCTTGAATGGTGAACAGGACTGTACAACAGAGAGGAAGGCAACAATCATCCCATAAAAAGGCTCAAGGATGGGAAAGAACCTGACCTGTTCAGGGAGGCTGCTGACATTCATTCCTTCATTTATTTCACTTTTTAAATATTTATTGAACACCTACTATGTGCTAGGCATTGTACTGGATACTTTATACATTTTATTCAATTTAGTCTTCATGGTGCCTGTGAGTTGGAATCCAGTGGCCCCTGCACTTACTCAGTTTTATAGATGAGGGGACTAGCATTCAGGGATTAAATGACTCGCTCAGGATGATCAAGGCAATAAATTATCCACCAGGATTCAAATCTAAATTTGGCTCCAAAGAGGCCTGTCTGAAGGACAGCAATCATTTGGGATTTATAAGTTCTAGACCATTAAGAAACAGTCTTGGTATTTAACATGGGAACCTCCTAGAACCTGGGTAGCACTCTCAGGGCTCAGGCTCAGCACATTTTATTCAAAGAAACAGTCCGACACCCCACTCATTCAAAGCTTCCTTTCTGACTATTAAAGAATATCAAATGGGGTGCAATTTGTAACTCAGGGCACCTCTTCTTAAAAATCCTCTTTTCTCCCCAATTCTCCCTGTGGCTATTCTAAGGCCTCTAGTGGCCCCTCCATCCCCATGCCCCAACCTGTCCTTTCTCCCAACTCATTCAGCCCCCTCTCAGTTTTCTCTCACCCCTCTAGCCCATTTTCCAGATTCAGCATCATGTAAGTCAAGGACCTGGGTAAAGAGAAGTTATGTGGCAGCTTAGGGGAAGGAGGTGGGGAAGGGAACACGTTGACCCTGACACACTAAATTCAGCCATATCACCCCCTCGGACCCGCTCACACCGTTCCTGAGGCCTAGCCCTCGCTTCCCACACTGTCCTGGACATAACGTTGGTGGCTTCTTCCCTGTCCATTCCCTCCCAGGTGTTTCCTGTGGTCTGGTGCCCACTCGAGGCCCAGGCTAGGATGGTTGGAGGGCGAATGCTCAACATTATTTGCTCTGGTCCCCAACTGTCACAGGGATGGCCCTGGGCTCCTCCCAGGAGAAAGCCCTACACAAACTCTCATTGTGCCCCTGTGTGCTTCAGACACCCCAAATTCATGAGCAAACCAAATATATTTCTTTTGAGACCTCATCTGCAAGATACTAATGCACCTGATAAGATTGGCATGAGGATTAAATGAGATAATATATTTGCCTGGCACATTTTCAATGCTCAGTAAATTTCAGCTGCTCTTACAGTTCTTGCCCCAGTCCCTAACCTGCTCTGCGGCTAGACGGTAAGCCCCTTAAGGACAGAGCTGTGCCTCATCTCCCCATCCCCAGTGGCAAATTTAGGGCTTGGAATGCAGTCAGTGCTTATCAATGCTGGATGAATTGATGAAAATATGCATTAATTGGGCCTCAAAGAATTTCAAGTTTATGCCTTCCAAGGGGGCTGATACTGTTAGGGAGCCAGTTCTGAGTGAGTTTGCCCTGTGTTATCAGCACTGCTCATCCAAGCACCACTCCCCAGGTGAGGGGCGCCCCCAGGAAGCCTGGGGTGGGCACCAGGGGCAGGAGGAGAAGACTGGGTTGGATAAGATGCCCTTGGCAAGACTCCACCCCAAGATGGACTGAACCTGAAGCCCAGGTTCACCCTACATCCGGGTGCTTGTTGCCTGCAGCTGCGTTCCCCAGTCAGCATTCTGGCCAGGAGGGAGGGAGAGGGGGGGCTCAGCTCAGGAAATGAACCCCACCCTCTTGTCCTGACCCCTGGGAGTAGCCAGGCTTTGCTGCAGCTAACAGGACAGAGAGCTCTGGGCGAAGGCAGCTGGGGTTCCAGCAGCCCCCCACTGGCTCCTTATCTGCCGCCTCCGTCAGCCTGTGGGAGACAAGCGGGGGCTGAGAGCTGCCTGGGCTGGAGCCACCAGGGGAACCTAATTAAGGACACGCCGGCCTGGCAGAGGGGCGGGAGCACCGAGGACCCCGGCGGGACAGGACGCCAGGAGGACCTGGAGGGAAGAATTCCCTCCTTTGAGAAAAGGCAGAGTAGTCAGCACTCATGGAACAGCCTTGCAAGTAAATGGCAACAGGCCACCAGCCCGCTCAGAGGAAACCCAGGGAGCACCTGACCTCGGATGCATATTCCACACCTTTGACTTCACCTCCCACCCTCACCCCACCCTCAAGGCGGGGTTACCCAGGAGAGTCTCAGGAGCCCACCAGGTAATCAATGTGTCGCCCTAAGAAGGGCTCGGAAGTCTTTATGTTGGAATGATGACGGTTGTCCTTTCTTTTATTACTTAACCAGCGCTGAGGGCACAGTGGGGAGCAAAGACAGGCATGGCCATGCCCTCCAGGCGCACGGATTCTCAAGGGCACCACAGGCAGCCCCAGAGAAACAAATGTACCCCCACAAACTCATGGAAATGCCCGACGGAGAGAAACTGACTGAAAGAAACTGAGACGCAGACAAAGGATGCTGAGCAGGGGTGGTCCCTGCCAGGGGGACCCTGAGACGACACTAGAAGGAGGTTACTAGTTTGACAGTGGGTCGTGGGGTGAGACTTCCAGGTAACGAATGACACGTACAAAGGAGGGAGAGCAGGACACATGGGAGGGATGGAATGGAAGCCGGGGAGACCCACAAAATGTGATTGGGAACGTGGTAACTGGTGAGCTGGAAGGGACAGCAGGCCCAGACCACACGGGGCCCCTGGCCACCTTGGGGAATTTGGTCTCTATGTCTTCAGGCCTCAGTTTCTCTACTGTGAATGGAAAGAAACAGAATTCCCACTTCTAGTCCAGCATTATCGTGGGTCACTAACCGGAAGGGCTTGGGGAAAAAGAAGAGAGTGACACCCCGGCTGCCTGTGGGTCTAAAGTGAGGGAACTGGGCTGGGGGGCGATGGGCCTCTCCTCACTTTCCACCCTTCCTGTCTCCTGCAGACCCTGAAGGCTGAGTAGCCAGCGGGATGCCCGGTCTGCTGAACCAGATGACAGGGGCAGCCCTGCCCCTCACCGCTTCCGATGTCACCTCCTTCGTCAGTGGATATGCCCTGGGTCTGACTGCGTCCCTCACCTACGGCAACCTGGAGGCCCAGCCTTTCCAGGGTAAGGACCCCTCCTCCGCTTTGAATCCCCACCCCAACAGGGTAGCTGATGGACATTGGGCAAGTCCTGGAACCTCTCTGAGTCTCAGTTTCCTCACCTGTAAAATGGGGATACCATTTCCACCCAACGGGCCTTGAAGCTGGTAGCCAGTCCGGTCAGGATTTGAGCCCAGGTTTGGGCTCAGCCCTGCCAACTGTCCCAGCACTATTTAGGTTCCACAAGGCGTGCCCACCTGTGTCAAATGGCCGGGCCTCCACTTTCTCCAGGGAGTCTCACAGTGGGAGAGGCCTCGAGGCTCAGTGGAAGCCAGGAGTTTCCAGCCCCAACTGTGGCTCTTGTCCCTGTGACTTTGGAGAAGCCACTTTCCTTTTCAGAATGAGGACACTCCTCTGCCTGTCTGGACGCCAGGGTTTGCAGAGGAGNCACCTCCCACCCTCACCCCACCCTCAAGGCGGGGTTACCCAGGAGAGTCTCAGGAGCCCACCAGGTAATCAATGTGTCGCCCTAAGAAGGGCTCGGAAGTCTTTATGTTGGAATGATGACGGTTGTCCTTTCTTTTATTACTTAACCAGCGCTGAGGGCACAGTGGGGAGCAAAGACAGGCATGGCCATGCCCTCCAGGCGCACGGATTCTCAAGGGCACCACAGGCAGCCCCAGAGAAACAAATGTACCCCCACAAACTCATGGAAATGCCCGACGGAGAGAAACTGACTGAAAGAAACTGAGACGCAGACAAAGGATGCTGAGCAGGGGTGGTCCCTGCCAGGGGGACCCTGAGACGACACTAGAAGGAGGTTACTAGTTTGACAGTGGGTCGTGGGGTGAGACTTCCAGGTAACGAATGACACGTACAAAGGAGGGAGAGCAGGACACATGGGAGGGATGGAATGGAAGCCGGGGAGACCCACAAAATGTGATTGGGAACGTGGTAACTGGTGAGCTGGAAGGGACAGCAGGCCCAGACCACACGGGGCCCCTGGCCACCTTGGGGAATTTGGTCTCTATGTCTTCAGGCCTCAGTTTCTCTACTGTGAATGGAAAGAAACAGAATTCCCACTTCTAGTCCAGCATTATCGTGGGTCACTAACCGGAAGGGCTTGGGGAAAAAGAAGAGAGTGACACCCCGGCTGCCTGTGGGTCTAAAGTGAGGGAACTGGGCTGGGGGGCGATGGGCCTCTCCTCACTTTCCACCCTTCCTGTCTCCTGCAGACCCTGAAGGCTGAGTAGCCAGCGGGATGCCCGGTCTGCTGAACCAGATGACAGGGGCAGCCCTGCCCCTCACCGCTTCCGATGTCACCTCCTTCGTCAGTGGATATGCCCTGGGTCTGACTGCGTCCCTCACCTACGGCAACCTGGAGGCCCAGCCTTTCCAGGGTAAGGACCCCTCCTCCGCTTTGAATCCCCACCCCAACAGGGTAGCTGATGGACATTGGGCAAGTCCTGGAACCTCTCTGAGTCTCAGTTTCCTCACCTGTAAAATGGGGATACCATTTCCACCCAACGGGCCTTGAAGCTGGTAGCCAGTCCGGTCAGGATTTGAGCCCAGGTTTGGGCTCAGCCCTGCCAACTGTCCCAGCACTATTTAGGTTCCACAAGGCGTGCCCACCTGTGTCAAATGGCCGGGCCTCCACTTTCTCCAGGGAGTCTCACAGTGGGAGAGGCCTCGAGGCTCAGTGGAAGCCAGGAGTTTCCAGCCCCAACTGTGGCTCTTGTCCCTGTGACTTTGGAGAAGCCACTTTCCTTTTCAGAATGAGGACATTCCTCTGCCTGTCTGGACGCCAGGGTTTGCAGAGGAGCAGATGTGGTAATGCGAGCGGAAGGACAGTGTGGAATACAGTCTGCGAGTATGAATCACTGGGCGGGGCAGCCAGGGCTGTGGACGGATGTCTGCCTGCAGGAGTCATTTGTAAATCAAACGCCTCTCTTTCCACTTAAGGAAGGGAGTTACAGGGAGGCTGGTTGGGGCTAGGATTCCCTCTCATCCTCAGCTGATTGGGGCCTTCTAACCCCCAACCTTCCTGTGATGGGCACCAGCCCCCAGCCTGACCTGGTTCTGAAGCCATTTCAGTTCCCAAAAGGAACCTGTGGGAAAACCTTCTTTCCCTCCAAAATCTCCTGGGCAGAGCTAATGACCCTGTTCCTCTGGTTATGAAACCTTAGAGAGGGTGGCTTTAAATGGGACCCACTGGGGACCCAGGAGACTAAATGACTGAATAACTCTGGGACAGTCTCATGGCTTTCTAAATGCATAAAGACCCGGTCCCCCCATTTTATAGATGAGAAAACTGAGGCTCGGGGAGACAGGAAGCAGGGGTTTGTGGAGGGCTCGCTATGGGCCCAGCATCTTGCTGCCGCAGTGTTGGTGGGCAGATTAAATGAGATGCAACCTTGATCCTCTGTGTGGTCCCTGAGCCATGGGCATCACTGGGGAGCTACTTAGAAATGCTGATCTAGGCCCTGCCCCGGAACTACTGAGTCAGAGTCTGCCTTTAATAAGACCCCAGGTGATCTGTGTTCTCCTAAAGTCTGAGAAGCACTAAGGCAGAAAAATGTAGGCACATAGCTTTAAAAATGGTGGCTATTTTTTCAATTTTCATGATGACCCTTCGAGTTGGGCTTTTTTATCCCCATTTTACAGATGGGGCTGCGAGACTTAGAGAAGCTAAATGCCTTTTCCAAGGTCACCAGGCTAGGAGGCGTGGCAGGGCCCAGATTCAAACCCAACTGTACTTCCTCCAACGCCCCAGCTCCTGGGAGCCACGGGTAGCAAATTCGCCACACATGTGTGTTTTATTAGGCCCACAAAACGGGTCACATAAAATCCAGATTTCTATTCTATCGAAAAGTCAGAAGCCCTGGCCACAGTGGCCTCACATGCCTGCAGAGTAAGAATTGGCTGGGACAGGGGAGCCGCTGTCCCTTTCCCAGTAGCCCCACTGCTCACAGAGTGCCTGCTGCTCTACTTAACCCCGCTTGGGCCCCAGAGCCATGAGGTCCCAGCCCAAGTGCTCGCTGGCCTCCTCTGAGTGGCAGTGAGCACCATCCTAATATCTGGCAGACCTAGGCTTGGGTTCCTTCCCAGGGGTGGGGCGTGCAGGGTGGGGCTGGGGCACCCCGTGATGCTGGGCCCTGCTTGGGCAGGCCTCTTCGTGTACCCACTGGATGAGTACACCACGGTGATTGGCTTTGAGGCAGTCATTGCTGACCGGGTTGTAACAGTACAGATCAAGGACAAAGCCAAGATGGAAAGTGGACACTTCAATGCCACTCACACTCGAGGAGCAACTGTCACAGGTAAGGAGGCAGGGCCTGGGCCTGGTGAAGTCTCAGGCAGGCTGAAAGGGCAGCAATAAGATAGGGTAGAAAGAGCACTAAACTAGGAGTCAGGAATCCTGTGTGCCTTTGGGCCAATGATTAACCTCTCTGAACCTCACCTTACTGTCTGTAAAATACAGGTAATCTCTCCTGTTCTCATCTGGAAAGCATGGTGAGGATTAAACAAAAGGGTTTTAAAGATATTTCTCTAGGACAGTTAAGCTCAGAGGTTATGGAGTGAGTTATGGAATGAGTCACACCAGCATCTGACTCCCTATTCTGGTGCTTGCAGGTGGTGTAAGCTTAGATAAGAAATTAATATTATCCATAAAATGAAGTTAATAATTATACACACCCAAAGCTCAACAGAGAGCATGTATGCAGAGCACTCATCACAGTCCCTGGTACCCACTAAGTATTCAAATAGTGGCTACTTATGCCTGTTATTGAAGATGCTGAGGCTCAGAGAGGGTGAGTGACTGGCCCAAGGTCACGCAGCATGTTGGTGGCAGATTCAGGGCTTGAATTCAGACCGTGTCATATTATGTAAGAGGTCCTTACCGTTGGATCTATAATCTAAGTGATGTTTGTTCATCTGATCATTAAGACATTCGAGAATATTTTAATGAACACGCACCATGTGTAAGGTGCAAAATCACCCTCCAGCTGTTGTGACCACTCACAGCCTGGACGAATAGCTAGGTTGTGCCTAGAAGAAACCGTGAGAACAGGTGGAAAGTGGCTGGGCCAAAAGAGATCTGGATAATGTCAGAGGAGGGGAATAAGGGTACAGATTGGGGGCCAGGGATGTATTCGTGGAGGGGTTGGATGGATGGGTAAGACTGCCTAAGTAGGGACAGGGGATAGGCCTTTCAGATGAAAGGACAGAGCAAGGGCAAAACCATGGATCCCAAAGGCGGGGATGCCTGAATGCAATTCTCATGGGATGTAGAGTCTGCGGGTGGAGAGGAGACCCTCTGTGGGGGTCTTGTGGGTCCAACTCTCCCAGTCCCAGCAGGGTACAAGTACACAGGCCTGGCTCAGACCCACACAGGTTCAGATCCTGCTTCAATGAGTTAGTTATTTGCTGAGGAACTTGGCTAAGTCACACCCCTCTGCTGAGCCTGTTTCCCCATCAGCCAAGTGGGCTACTCAGACCTAGGGCACAGCAAGCTGGGGGGGG